GTCAGTACAAAGAAGAAATCCAGGCAAAATGCCCTGAGGAAACCTGAAGGAAGGAGAAAGAACTTTGAGCTTCAGCCACTGAAGGATCTAAAGTGACAGGGACAGACTTTCATAAGATTATTTTGGCATGGTGTAGTAGTAGTAGTAGAATCCTGGATTAGGCTTTGGGAAATGTGGGTTCTCCTCATTCTGCCAGTAACTCACAATAACTCTCTGAGTCTCAGTTTCCTCCCATGTAAAACAGGAGTGGGGAATGAGTAGAGCAGATGACCCCAAAGGTCTCTCTCAACTCTGGCATCCTGTGAATCTCTTCTATAGAAATTCTGAAATAGGCAACTCTTTCCCTTAATTATGTAGTAAAAAGATCAACCAGCAGGGGACGCTGAACCCCAAGAAACCACCATCATTTTTTTTCCTCAGTCAAACAAACTACATAGTCTTAAGAGAACCAAGTTCAAAGGTTGTGAAAGAATGAAGAACAAAGGGTAGCAGGTAGTCAGGGATTCAGACACTGCTGTGATAGCGGAGGAATGTCCCCAACAGAAGGGAGAAAGGCCAGATGGGTGAGGGATGTGAGCATGTAAGTGCTATTAAATTGTCCATTGAATTGATGTGTACATTTAGGTAGGAAGCTACCCTGCAGAGAGTGGACTCAGGACTGGTGGATAACAACAGGACAAGGATCAAGTGTGGTATCTCATTTATATGCTTTATAACTTAATGTTAATGTGGAGGAAAAAATTATAATGATAATACCTCACTTCATATAGCTATCGGATCCTTATACCCCTTCTAAGAGATAAGCAGAGTTTATTCTCCCTGTTTATTTGCAGATAAAGAAACTGAGGCTTGGGTCAGCAAAGTGACTTAACCAACATCACTTTGGCTAAATATTGGCAGTCAGGATTAGAACCCAGGTCTCTTGTCTCTCCCTCAATCAAGGCCTGTTCTCACAAACCAGAACAGATGTGTAGGATTTGTATTGATAGAACTCATATGCAAAGGCCTAGGGGATCAGGCTTGTTTCAGGACAGGATTTGATAGAAGAGAGGTGTCTCATTTGGGGTGGGGACAGGGATGATCTGAAGCCAGCTCAAACCCCCTTGTGAGAGTTGATTATTAAATTTTCAGTGTAAGCATTTACACCTTGAATGTCTACAAATTAGTCTTTCATTTACTGTTTCGTTGATTGTCTAGACCTAGTCTAGCCCTGAGTCCAGTCTCTAGACTTAAGAAAATGATGGAGAAAATGTTAATAGTGCAGTGCATTTACACTTAATAGTTATGGTTATAATTAATAGTTTGGTACATTTTCAGAGTTGCTTGCCAGTAGATCTCTGGGTAGAAGAGTGAATTTACAGAATGCAAGCTCTATGTCCTTATTTCAGCCAAGCTGGTATTTACTCATCTGCCTTGGTATCTGGAAGTCAGTATCTAATGTCGAGATGGACCTACAAGGTAGGGAGATGGAGTGGGGAGGGGTGTGAGGATTTGTCTCAAGAAGAAAAAAAAAAAGAAAGAAGGAATCATAGCTTACATTTCCGTAAGACTTAAATTTTTTCAGAAAGCTTGCCCCCTTATCTCCTTTGACACCACCACCACTCTAGAACAGACCCTCATTATCTCATCCCCGATAGCCTACTGGTAGGATTGCCTCCCTACTCCAATCCATCCTTCATTCAGCTACCAAAGGGATTTTCCTAAAGTGCAGGTTCAACCTTGTCACTCCCCTACTCAATAAACTTCAGTGGCTACTCGTTGCCTCCAGGATCAGATACAAAATCCTCTATTTGGTATTCAAAGCCCTTTATAACCTAGCACCCTCCTACCTTTCTAGTCTTCTTACACCTTACTTCCAACACACACTCTTCGATCCAGTGACATTGGCCTCCTGGCTGTTCCACAAACAAGACAATCTCTCTACTCTAGGCCTTTTCTCCAGTTGTCTCTTGTGCCTGAAACGCTCAACTCCACACTGGCTGACTTCCCTGGCTTCCTTCAAGTCCCAAGAAAAATCTCACCTTCTACAGGTAGCCTTTCCCAGCACCTCTTAATTTTAGTGCCTTTCCTCTGTTAATTATTTCCTATTTATTCTATGTATAGCTTGCTTCTGTATATATTTTTTGTATGTTGTCTCCCCTTTAGATTGTAAAGTCCTTGAAGGCAAGGACTATCTTTTGCCTCTTCTCAAATCCCCAGTGCTTAGCATAGTACCTGGCACATAGTAGGTCCTTAATAAACGTTTATTGATTGTTTAACTTGCTTCACCACAACACTGTGAAAGAGGTATTATTATCTCCATTTTACAGAAAGAGAAACTGAGACCTAGGGTCATGAAAGTTAATGGCAAAATCAGTACTGAAAACCAGGTGTCCTGGCTCCAGCCCAGTACACTTTAAAAAAAAATCTTATTTTTTTTTATTCTAAACTTAACAGCTTATTTATTCTGAACTTAACACCAACAAACATGAACTTATCTATATACAAAATAGCAGAAAAGATGATTACATATGAAACTGGGTATCTCCATTACATAGTTGCATCTTTAAATACATAATAAATTCAACACTTTGTTTCAAAGTTGTCCTGTTTGTGTCTTCTGAACTCTCTCTGTTCTTTCCTCTGTGCATTTTTTAAATGTTTCATGGTACTATTTTCTTTCTTTTCTTGAGACCAAATCCTATGTTCGACTTTTAAAGCCCTTCATAACCTGGACTTTTTCTGCTTTTCCAGTCTTCTCAGACCTAACCCCACCTGGACTGCCCCACTGTACTCGACAATAATGTGACACTGGTCTCCTTTATGTTCCTCCACAATGATGATGATTATAACATAATATAATGTAATATATGATAAGATAATACAATATAAATTCATTTCAACAACCCTGGGAGTGGGTGCTTTTATTATTCCCATTTTACAGGTGAGGAAACTGAGGCAGACAGAGGTTAAGTGACTTGTCTATGGTCACACAGCTAGTAAGCATCTGAGGTCAGCTATGAACTCAGGGTTTCCTGACTTTAGGTTCAGCATCTATCCACTGGTTCATCTAGCAGCTTCCCATCTCTCAACTATGCATTTTCACTGGCTTCCCTCTTGCCTAGAATTCTCTCCCTCTTCATTACTGCCTCCAGGCTCCCTAGCTTTCTTGAAGTCTCAACTCAAATCTTTCTGCAAGAAGTCCAAGATACTGACTCTATCTGCAGACACCTAGCATTTTCGCTGGTTCATTTGAACACCCATGCCTGGAATTTGTTCCCTCTTCATCTCCACCCTGTGGTTTTCCAGTTAAAGTCCCATCTTCTACTGGAAGCCTGTCCTGATCCTCCTTAACATTAGTGCCTTCTCTCTGTTGATTATTTAGTCTGTATGTATCAGTTTATTCTGTATATATCTTCTTTGCTTATAGTCACTTTCATATTGTTTCCCCGATTAGGCTGTGAGCTCCTTGGGAGCAGGGACAGTCTTTTACCTTTCTTTGTGTCCCCACCATTTAGTATCATTCCTGGCCCATAGTAGGAGCTTAATAAATACTTGTTAACTTGTTGACTCTTGGCATCACTATCATTTGCCCCTTCCTCCCCCCCCCAAACACACACAAAAATTTTTAAACCCTCCTTTGCAACATATAATCACAGCCAAGCAAAATGAATCCCTACACTGGCCATGTCTGGAGGTGTTCTGCCCCCGCAGTCCATCCCCTCTGGGCTAGGGTCTGAGAAGCATGCCTCATCACAGTCCTCTAGAGCCCAGGTCTATGAACATTGCATTGTTCATAGGTCTTAAGTCCCAGAGCACTCTTTTTCCCCCAGAGAAGGAAGTTAGGAAAGGTGGCTTGGAGTAATCATGGGAAAGAACTCAGAAGGAAGGGAGGTTAAGCCTCAGAGTGGGGAGGGAGAACCAAGGGGAGCATGGTCAGCATTCCTCATTAGGACTGTGACTCAAGCTGCAGGCATGTCAAGGGGTGGGACAGGGAGGTTAGATATCAGAACTGGGCTGTAAGCCTGCTGGCACAAAGAACAGTGAGGACTTCACAGGCAAAAGGGGAGTCTAGTTGGACCCTGGAGTGCCCTATTTCTAATACACTCCAAAATACCTCTCCTGACTGGGGGCTGGGGTGGGAAAGCTAATTGTCACCTTCCCCAAGACCTATTAGAGAGCCCCCAAGACTCTCAAAGCGCTAGAGCCCACAACCCTGCTAAAAGTGGCCTTTCTGCTCCCTTCTAGAGCTCTTTATTACCTTCTGCTGGCCTGCAGGAAGGTTCTTCATCCCCCACCCCCTCTTGCCATAGAAGACTGGCTGCTTTCAGTACTTCCTCAGCCTCTGTCCATTCTCTTCCTCCATTATTTTCTCTAGGCCAACCCTGTACCCCACCCCCAGGCAAATGCCTCCCTGTCTTCCCAATCCCTATTTCCCCCTGACTCAATCTCCCCATTTACTCCCCAAAATTGACATTTTTCCTGTAGGGGTTGAGGGTAGTTGCTAACCAAAGAAAGGAAAGTCTCATGCTGGGTGGGCAGGCCTCTGGATACACTGCTTACCACCTCTCATTTCCCATAGACTGCTATTGTGAACTGATTTGCTCTTGTATTAATGTTCTTTAAATTTTCCTAGAGGGAGTGCTAGGGAAAGTCTATGGAGGCAGGTTTCTTGGGTCTCAGAGATAATCTGAATGTTTCTCTCCCCCCCCCCCAAAAAAAGCACCTGTATGCTTCTCCCTGTCTCCACGGCTGGCGGGTGTCCACAGGGTTGCTGGCCCAGGCAGGCCTGGGGCAGCTGGGCTAAGAGAAGCCCCTCCCTCTCATTGGTCTGACACTGAGCCAAAGAGAAACTGATCCTCTGGTGGGGGCAGGGAGCCAGAGAGCTGGGGCCCAGAATAGTCTCTGCCACAGCTTTAGTCAGCACGACACTGGCCAGATGCAGCCTGAGCAGGAACACACCCTACATTGGGTACAGGGGCCCCAGGGAGGGAATAGAGGGAGTCCGAAGGGACAGAGGGTGAGGTGCAGTTGCAGTCCCTCAAGCTCAGGGCAGCTGAGGCTTGAGTTACCTTCCTCTCCTACCCCTTCGCCTTGCCTTCTTCTCACAGACTTTGTCTTGAAACAACCATGTGGGACATGGTGGAACAACCAGGTGGGTATTTGCTGCTTGGCCCCACGTTCACTTCCCACATCTCTTACCTCCTCTTCCCTTGCCTGAAATCCCTCTATCCTGGTTACCTCATCCCTATATCCCAATCTCTTTCCTTCCCTTTCCCCTCCCTTTCACTGTCTCCCCTTCTTCCTCTTGGCTCCATCTTTGTTCCCTCCTTTTCCTCCTTCTCTTTCTCCCATCTTGTCTCTTCTTCACTCATCTCCTCTCCCTCCCACTGGTTCTCTCTTTCTCTCCTGCCCAAGTTCTATTTTCTCATACAGAAATGAACTACTCGGGGGACAGCCCTTCAAGGCCACTGCCTTGCATGAATACCAACCCAGAGAAGAGCTGTGATGACCAGGGAGCCAAGACCTGCAGGTGGACGAGGCAAGAGGCTGTGGAACAGGGAGACCTCCCTGTCCTGGAAGAAGGAAACAGCCCCCAGGGTGAGGAATGGGCCCATTGGGGAGGGGGGGACAATTGGAGCTTAGAATGCCTCTGATTTCCTATAGATCTGAGGACTAGGACCTGGCCATGAGCTCAATGTTTAGTTTCATCTTCTGGGAGAGAAACTGGCTAAGTGGAAACATCTTTGGACTAGGAGTCAGAAGACCTGAGTTTTATCCTCGGTTTTTCTACAAGCTTGCTGCGTGACCTTGGGCAAACCTCTTCATATCTCCAAACCTCAATTTATTCAACAACTTAGCAACTTAGTTTTCTCACGTGTATGATGGGAATAATAATACCCAACACTTCATGAGATTGCTGAGGGGACAAAATAAGAAAGCTACTGGTGAAGTAGAAAGCATTGGTTAAATGTAAGATGTTATCATCATCTTCCTAGCAGGTGTCCTGGCAGGCTCTGAGTCTGTGTCTACCTCCTCAGAAGACATATCCCAGAGCCAAGCTGCCACATTCCCGGGATCTGATTCCATTAGCTGGGGGCTAGAAGCCACAGACTTGGACTCCACACCCATGTGTCCACGGCTCACATCTGTACCATCAGGGGCCATATCCCTGGAGCCAGAGACTTTATCAGTGGGGCAGGAAGGGGAGATTCCAGAGAGAGTGACCAGAAGTCCATCACCACAGATCCTCCTGCCCAAATTGGGCTGGGATGAAGAACTGCTCCGCCCAGGAGCCCAGATCTACATGCACTTCATGCAGGAACATAGCTGCTATGATGCCATGGCTACCAGCTCAAAGCTGGTCATCTTTGATACCATGCTAGAGGTGAGGGCCTCCCTGTGCTCCCTTGAGCCTCACACCTACACTCAAAGGTCTTCCTAGATCTCCCTGGGACCTTGGAGCCCCAAATCCATAAATAATAGCGTTCCTAGATCTCTAGACACACTGAGTGCTTCAGACAACCCTCCCACCATGGCCCATAGGTGTTCCCCTGCATAGCCTCCCCAAATTCCCTTGGTTCCTCCCTTCTGGCTCTCTCCCTTCCCCTTTTTATTATGACCTTCTAAACCAGAGGCGGGGAACCTGTGGCCTTCTAAGTCCTTGGGTTCAACCTTTAGACTGAGTCCAAGCTTTACAGAACAAATCCTTTTATTAAGGGGATTTATTCTGTGAAGTTTGGATTCAGTCAAAGAGAATTGAGGACCAAGAGGGCCACATGTGGCCTTAAGGCCACAAGTTCCCCATCCCTGTTCAGAACTCTTCCTGGACCCTATGCCCCATTCCCTCCTCCACAATACATAACTGCCTCAACTTCCCCAGTAGCTATAAGTACAGATGGAGGAATTGAAGTGGAGATGAAGGTTGGTTATGTGAGTAATTGTAAAGGTACAGGGAGAACCTTGCCAAAAAGTGCTTAAATTCAACAAGAGTGTATTAAGCACCTACTATATGCAAGGCCCTACTCTCAAGGAGCTTATGATCTAATGGGACAAGGACAGGTGAACACCCAAATAGCTATAATAAAGAAGAATGAGACCAATACAAAGGGAAGTTATAGACTGTGCTAGGTTCATTTGAGTAGGGGTCACCTGGGGGTTGAGGTCAGGGAAGGCTTCATGGAGAAGGTCTTGTAGGAACAGTGAGTTATTAATAGATGGCGATCATTCCCAAGCATGAAGAAGAGAGTAAACACAGGCACAGAGGCAGGAGGGGACGGGTCAAGAATGGGGAAGAGAGACATCCAGTTTGTCCAGAACAGAGACTCTATAAAAGAGAATAATGTGATAAGACAGTTAGGTTGGCACCACATGGTTGAAGGCCTTGAACCAATGCCAACATCCTTGACCTGTAGATGGAGCAGTAGTATTAATGCAGAGTTCAAGATGGTAGGCATCATTTCCTCCTCTTTCTTCTCAGATCAAGAAGGCCTTCTTTGCTCTTGTGGCTAATGGGGTGCGAGCAGCCCCTTTGTGGGACAGCCAGAAGCAGAGCTTTGTGGGTGAGTGAAAGACTGTGAATGGGAAAGGAAAGGTCTTGGTGAAGATATGTAGGGAAGCACCTACAGGTCAAGGTGGGAAGACATCTGGAGCATTCAGGGGTCCCTTTGGTGGCGCTCTGAGGCCCAAGTCTTAGCTATGCCATTTAACTACTTGGGCCATGTTGACAAGTCACTTCTCTCTGGGCCTCAGTTTCCTCATCTGCAAAATGAAGGGGTTGGAATGAGTGATCTCCAAGGTCCCTTCCCACTCCAAATCCTATAATCCTCTGATGGTTTTCACAGAACAGAAACCATGGTTAGATAACAGCTCAGCAATCTACCTCTCTAACCCTGGGCTGCACTGAGGGTAAACCCCTACCATTCAGTTCTCCTGCCAGGCAGAGAAGGAAAAGGAGGAGAAGAAAAAGAAAAAAAAGAAAAGAAGAAGAGAAGGGAAGGATAAAAAGAGAAAAAGGAGAGAAAAGGAAAATAGAGGAGACCTCAGGGTCTCCTCCAGTGGTATGAGGATGATAAGTACTGGCCAGCAGTGCCCATGCTATGGAATATCTACATGAGTCTCAGATTTGCCACCTTTGGGCATCAATCATTCATTTATTCTTTCATCAAACATGCGTTAAGCACTTGACTAAGCACTGGGTTAGGAGAAAAGGAAGCAGCAAAGATAACCAAGATAAAGCCCCTGCCTTCACAGTGGCACCAGGACTGGGACTGGTCCCCAGGCTGACCAGATCCCTATCTCTCCCCCACTTCCTCAGGCATGCTGACTATCACAGACTTCATCCTGGTACTCCATCGTTACTACAGGTCACCCTTGGTGAGTCCTGAACAGATGGCTCAATTGGATTGAAGGAAGGTGGGAGGAGAAAGCTGGAGAGCTTGAGTGTGACTCCCTAAGCCTGATCAAAAGAGGCTATCTCTCTATCTCTAGGTTCAGATCTATGAAATTGAGGAACACACAATCCAAACCTGGAGGGGTGAGCAGAGAACTGGGGGCCCCAAGGGAAGGGACCAAGGGAGCTCTGCTTAGGAATGAAGCACAGGAAGGGGAATGGGAAGACCTGGGAAATAGGGGAGGGAAGATAGTCTGCGGGACTCCCCAGAGAGGAGGGTACAGCTCTCTGGACTTGATTCTCCCTCTCCTGCAGAGATCTACCTTCAAGGCTCTTTTAAGCCACTGGTTTCCATCTCACCCAATGACAGGTAGGTGACCCTCCCCGATCTTGTCTTTGAATATCTTTTTTGGGTCTCATCCCCCTTTTTAAGACCCACTTGATTCTGGGCTCATCCCGTTAATCCTTAGAAGCAAAGAATATGAATGGCCCTGACCCCCAGACTCCGTCTGTGTGTGTGTGTGCGTGTGTGTGTGTGTGTGCGTGTGTGTGTGTGTGTGTGTGTGTGTATGTAGGGTACATTTGGGGGTGGAAGACCTTTCCTCAAAACCTCCCCTGCTTGCTACTTGCTATCTTGGAGAGGGGGGAGGGAGGGAGGAAGAGAGAAAAATTTGGAACTCAAAATCTTTCAAAAATAATTGTTGAAAATTTTCTTTACATGTAATTGGAAAAAAAATACTATTAAATAATGAAAAAAAATCAAAAATTTAAAAAAAAAACCTTCCCTCACTGGGTAGAGGAAAGGAAAAAGATATGTTCAGAAATCAAGGTAACAGCAATTTTTAAATTATTAAATTGAAAATATGCCAATTTTTTTTCAAGTCTTGCCCAGGGATCCATCTCTAAATTAAACCCCCCTTCTCCCCTACCTTCTAATCCTTCCATCTCATCGGCCCTTCCTCCCCAGCCTGTTTGAGGCTGTTTATTCTCTGATCAAAAACCGGATTCACCGCCTGCCCGTTCTGGATCCTGCCTCTGGCAATGTGCTTCACATCCTCACACACAAGAGGCTGCTCAAGTTCCTGCATATCTTTGTAAGACCCTACCCAGACCTGGAAAAGCCCAGAGAGTCTCTGGAATGGAGGAGGGGAGGTTCTAACCCCACTGGAGCATTATGGGGCACATTGCCCAATTGCCCCCCAGCTGCCCCCATTCCCACCTTTACCTTTAGCTCCATAGATTTGCATTTGCCCAATATTTCCAAGACTCTCTTAGTACAGCATCCCTGATTGAGATCTTGGGAGGGAAAGTTAGGGTGCAGAGAAGCTTTGGGCCCACTGTGGCATCCGGGTTAGAGTTCTTGGGGAAGGAGCTCTGGCCTCCTTCCTGATCTTTGCCCTTTTCTCCCCTCCCTAACCCCTAATCCACTCTTACACCCAGGGTGCACTGCTGCCCAGACCACAGTTTCTTTCCCGATCTATCCAAGACTTGGGCATTGGCACATTCCGAGATTTGGCTGTGGTGCTGGACACAGCCCCAATCCTGTCTGCACTGGACATTTTTGTAGACCGCCGCGTGTCTGCGCTACCTGTAGTCAATGAGTCCGGTATCTTTGCCAAGGGCAGTGGGTGGTACTCAGGAGGGGGCTATGAAAAGAGACTTGTGGGATGGGTGGACAGGTTTTTAATTTAGGCCTTCATGATGAGGTCAGAGGGTCTTTGTAAAATCAGTTTAGAAATAGGGTTCTTTACTTTTCTGTGTGTGTCACAGATGCCTCTGCAGTCTAGTTAAGTCCACTTCTCAGAATAATGTTTTTAAATGCATAAAATAAAATACATCAGATTATAATGGAAATCAATTAAATTGAAATATAGTCATGAAAATATATGTATTTTTAAAATTCATGGACCCCAGGTTAAGAACTCCTCCCTGGTCCAGGCATCATAATATAGTGAGAGTCAAGAAATCAACATTCAAGTTCATGTGACTTCATCAGCCACATAAACTCTCTGTGCCTCAAGTTCTCCCATTGGTAAAACGGGAGAAATAAAAGCTATCTTACCTACTTATATGAGGTGGTCCTGAGGATCCAATGAGATTTGGGGATCCAGTGCAAAAATATCTGTGTGTTGAGTAAAAAGAAACTGCTGCTAGCTGCCTGTTTAACTTACCTTTGGCTCTGAGGACTCATCCCTAGGACTAAAGATCAAATGTGGATGATCTCTAAGCTTTTTTGCAGCTTCAAAATTCTGTGAATTTAGGGAAATGCTATGCTAAGTTAAAAGTTCTCATCAACAAAATAAGTTGTTGTTCAGTTGTGTCTGACACTTCCTGACCCCACTTGGGGTTTTCTTGGCAGAGATACTGGAGTAGTTTGCCATTTCCTTCTCCAGCTCATTTTACAGATGAGGAAAATGAGACAAACAGGGTTAAGTGACTTGCCTAGGGTCACACAGCTAGTACGTGTCTGAGGCCAGATTTGAACTTAGTAATATGAGTCTTCCTGACTCCAGGCTCAACACCCTATCTATGCACTATGGCGCCACCTAATGAACCAAAGAAATAGTTGGTGCTAAACTCATTCCAAGTACTTCTTAGAGTTCTTCTGACCCCTTTCTTCCTTCCTTCCTCCAATCCAGGAGAGGTGGTGGGCCTCTATTCCCGATTTGATGTCATAGTGAGTATCCTACTAAAAGTAGCTGGGAAAAGTGTGGAGAGGCTGAGGTGAAAATGGAGGTGTCTGTTGGGAGTTGGGAGGAGGGTGGTCTGAGGATGGAGTTAGCTAGGTGGAAATCTGTAGGAGTGGACCTTCTGTACAGCTGAAGGAAATCCAGAAGGTGGGATAATCCCCACCCCCTTCTTGTTTTCTCTCTCTCTTCTTTAGCACCTGGCTGCCCAGAAGATCTACAACCGCCTGGACATGAGTGTTGGTGAGGCATTGAGGCGGCGGTCCCTCTGTCTGGAGGGCATTATTTCCTGCCAGCCTCATGAAAGCCTGGGTGATGTCATCGACCGAATCGCCCGAGAGCAGGTGAACATTCCACCATGTCCTCTCCCACCCCAACCCCATTCACACAGAGCTTCATCATCCTCAGGGAGACCCTGAACCCTTGAAGTGCTCACTCTGACTTCAGGGTAGGACTTAGCCACTTTTAGCTATCCCATCACTCCACAAGTGGTACCCACAACTCTCCCAGTTCAAGGAGCCTCGATGTGTGCCTGTCAGATGCCCTATCCCTTAGTGCTTATGCATACCCATCTTGCCTCTGCCCATTCATTAGCTGAAATCCCCGGAGATGCTGACTCTCCCTTCAGGGCTACAATTATGCGGTCACATAATTATGTGGCTGTGATTGGGCCACAGCCATGTCCTGCTAATCCCAGCCCCTTGCACCCACAGGTTCACCGGCTGGTGATGGTGGATGAATCACAGCATTTGTTAGGCGTCGTTTCCCTGTCTGACATCCTCCAAGCCCTGGTGCTCAGCCCCGCTGGCATTGATGCGCTTGGTGCCTGAGAATCCCAGTGTCCTTAGGTCTTGTGCAGTGCTCCAAATCTCAACCCCCCACCCCAAACAGATGGAAGGAGGAGGGAAGTTCACTCCCTTCACTCACTCACTCATTCTCAGCCAAATCCTCTCCTGCTCAGGTATGTTCTGTTTTTCTCCTCATCTCTCTCTTGCCCCCTTGTTTACTAATTCTAATACTGGCCCTCTCAGGTTTGCCCTGTTCCCAGACCTCTTTCCTGAAGTTCAGCCGGGAGAGGAACAGCCCTGTTCTTGAACAAGTAGGTCTGTGAAAACCATGAAGCTTACCACTCACTGCTCCAACAAGGCTTCCCTGGGCTGGAAAGAATACTTTATGCAGGGATTTGGAGTTCCTCTCCCCCCACCCCAGATGTCCACATTAAAATTAGTGTAAGCTAGTTTCAAGGAGGTGCCAGAAATAGGGGTGGTTGAGGAATTAATATAATAGCAATTCAATCCAATAAATATTTGTTAAGCATCTACTATGTGCCAAGCACTGTGCCAAGCACTGAGAATACAAAAAGAAGCAAAAGACAGTCCCTGGCCTCAAGAAGCTTACAATGGAAGAGACAACATGTAAACATATATAAAGTAAACTATATACAGAATAAATAGGAAATAATCAACAGAAGGAAGACACCAGAATTAAAGGGGGTTGGAAAAGGCTTTCTGTAGGAGGTAGGATTTTAGTTGGGCCTTAAAGGAAGCTGGGGAGGTCAGGAGTCAAGCAGAGGAGCAAAGCCTCAAATTATAGTTTCAGGGCCCTTGGAAGGTTCCCTTGTCCATATCTCCCATAACAAGTTTGACATCTGCTCCCTGAAATCCCTTTACCCACAGGATAAATCCTTCCTTTTAGACAATTAGAGATGAGGCTTAAAAAGCAAATCCTCTTGGGAAAAGGAACACATAACAAATTCATTCTTGAGTGAATCTGAACTACAAATCAGACCCTTTCCTGCCTGCTAACAGGTTACAGGATCATAGATTTAGAGTTGGATGGGACATTGGAGACTATCTCCTCCAATAGCTTCATTTCATTATAAGTGAGACCCAAACAGGTATCATCCAAGGTCACAAAGAGAATGTAGAACTCAAATACAGGTCTTCTTACTCCAGAGGCATGATCTTTCTATGGAAGGGGTCAGGCTGGGGGGCGCACTAAAAACCTGATTTGGGATAGAGAACCCAAGGATGAGGGCAGTCGTAGCTGGAAGGAGAGACAACTTTATCTACTTTACAGTTTTGCCTTTTTTTCCCTCCCTCACAGGCTCTGCATCTTCATCCCCAGTTCTGCTTCCCTAATACGAACAAAGCTCTGTTCCCATAAGCCTTTGAGAAAGGCCAGTGCTTCACAGGATGGTAGAGGTCAGGATGAGAGCTCCCTGACCTTCAGGCACTGGGATCATTGGACAATATTCTTAGCCTCATGTGTGCCCCATGTCCTTCATCCCCTTCCTTCCATCTGCAATAGTCCCCAAGGTGGGGCTGGCTATGGGGTTTAAGAGCCCATACCCTGTAGTGTTGGGACATGAGACAGGGACCCAATTCCTTTGATTTCTGAACTGGCTTTCAGTCTTTCACTGTTATTCCCTAATGTCTTTTCCCTTCATCTTTCCCATCTTCTCCTTAATTCTTCCCCTTCCACTTTGGCATTGCAGGAGTTGGGTACCACTATGGAACCACGGGTGTGCAGCCTCAGACCTCTACCTGTGGCTGTCCACCTAACCTGGCTAGATCCAGGGAAAGATCTAGAATGCTGATAACTGGGTCTGAGTCTGGCCTCCATCATCAACTTGTGGTAGGCCTCTGGACCAGTTCTTGCTCCAGTCTGGTCCTGCTATAACTTCTCAGGAACAAGAGAAGGGCCTGAGCTATTCCCATACCCTCCCACTCTTAAGCTAAAAGAGTGGATGAAAGAGATAAGTCTATGAAAAGCCTGGGAATTCTCCAGGCAAAGTCCAGGGAAGCCCCAAGTCTTTTCTGTCAGGACTGACTTTCTTGTAGGAGTCTGTTATGAGAACTGAATTATTAGACATTGTTATTTTTGGACTGTATTTCCTTCTCTGAGAGCGAAATGGATGAACAACGGATTCAAATGGACATTTGACAGAGAGAGTATGATTCTTATGTGTGCCTCTACTGTTCCTTCTCTGAGAATCCTGGAGACCTAGAAATTCAGCCACATGGACCTTTCTATGAGAGCTCCTATTTACTCCTCTTGCCCAAGGCCTCCTACTCTTCCTCATCCTCATTTCTTGGAACTATGCTGGGTGCTTTCTCTCTACTCCAGCTCTCTTCCTTCTCCAGGTTCTACAACCAAACATAAACTTGAGGGGAGAGGATGGGTCAACACATGTGGAGGGGTGATTTCTTCCACAAAGATTAAAAATTTTAAAAAAAAGTGTTTGAGTTACATGTTGGTACCTTTGATGCATATACACACAATTAGAGAGAGCAAATCCATCTTCTTGTCAGGTGCCAGCCAAGTCCTCTAACCTCCTGCCTCCAGATAGGCCAGCTCTTTCTCCCTTGTATCAGTAAATTTAGAGCTAGGAGTGACCTTAGACTTAAAATCATAGATTTAGAGACTGGACATGGAAAGAGCCTTTAAAGACATCTTATACAATCCTTTCATTTTACAGTTGAGGGAACAAAAACCCACAGAAGTTACTGTAAATGACTTGCCCAAGGCCACAAGTGTGTTAAGTAGCAGAACTAAGGTTTCAAATTCCACTCTTCTTATACCATGGTACTTAATAAGCCTCTAGGAAAGGAATAAAAATTTCTATAGAGCCAGAAGGTTTACAAAGCTCTTTCATCACAACAAGCCCTATAGGCTAGGTAGTACAAATATTGTCATTCTCATTTTTATAGATGAAGAAACTCCCAAGATTTTCCTGGCTCCTCTATTTACAACCCTTAACATTCAGGAATTTCTCTCTGCCACTGTCTCTGGTCATTCCTTCCTCTTCTCAGTGGAGGGGGCAGGGACTATTCAGAGTCATGTTTTCTCACTGGAGACTGGAAACCTTCCTCTACTCTCAATATATTCTGCTCATACACTAATTTGTTTCTCATAAGTCTCATAATTGGGACAAAAGCATTAAAGTCTTTTCACATAAAAAGGAAGGCTAGTAAGCACTTCAGAAAGGGGGAAAAAAAACCTAGAGTTGAGAGTCAGGACACCTGGATTCTAGTTAAAGGAATGCTACTCACTTGTTTTAAGATCTTCAATAAGTCACTTGACTACTCTGTCCCTTTGGTTGCTTAGAATTTAAGAACTGGGCTTAGATTCTTATAATCTAGCCACAGCTTGCTAGTGTTCAGACTCCTTAAGAGTCTGCCCTATATGGTGAATGTTCTAATAAATCTTGTCTTTGGCTGAGAGAAGGCTTGGGTCAAATTCTTTTGGGCAGGACTCACGTGTTGTGATTTTGGGGTCCCAGCACCCCTGAGCCCCTAAACCACATCATTTTGGTGGCCCATATGGGAAAACTGCCTAACTCCAAGTTCTTCTCCAGCTAAGACTGGAAGGTATGTAAGCCTCCCCTCCCTCCTTTCTTGCTTTGCAGTTAGGGTTGTTCTGCAAGCACCAAGGCTTGGAGGTGCTTTTCAGGCAGACAGTTACGAGGCTGTCTTGCACTCGGTCTGACGCTCTCAGGCTCTCGATCCACTGGGTTGGTTGAAGGCCATGGACCTAGGTACACCTTCCGCAGCATAGAGGACAAGGATGGATGCCCTATCCGAAAGTGTATCTGTTAATTCCCTCGGCACTAGGGATTTGGGGAAAACTGCAGTTGCTTTTTGGTTCCCTGAGGCTTACTTCCTTCCTTCCCTCTGTACCTCTGAATCCTCCTTCATGGAAGTTACAGGGAAAGTTAGAACAGCTAAAAATACCTTGGCAGATTCTGGAGGTTTTGTGATTGATCATTAGAGAGTTTTGAAATACCTTTGATTTTGCCCTCCCCCACCTAGGAAAGGAAAGAGGGGGAAAGGGCAGCAGCTACAGCATGGGCCCCAGTGGCAATGGCCTTGGGCTCTGGGGCAACCCTTGCCTGGAAGCATCACCCAGGTTCAACACATCCTGCTCAAGGTAAAGAAACTGGCCTTTGAACTTGGACTATAGGTCATTCACCTACAGTTGGTAGCAAACAGCGAGTACCAACCAGTGTCCCCCATCATTCCTGGATGCAGCCTGTGTTCAGTTCCAGTCAACTTCCTCTTTGAGACCCCCTCGAGGCAGGCACAGCTCTACGCCCCTTGCCAGCAGGAAGCAGTTTCAGAAGCTGAGACCTCGCCCCTTACTCCAAAAGAATTTGGGTCCCATTTGTTTGAGGGGGGAATGATGGGGTTGGGATCTGGGCCCCAGAAAGGAAAAACCCTGGACTTTCTCACAAGGCCAGATCTCTGGTATTCACTTGAGGCTGTAATCCCATCAACTGGCCTTTCATTGTGGCTACACCCAATCTCCCCTCCATTGTTTTACCTCCCTATGTATGGCCCCTGGCCATTTCCCACCCTTAATCCTAGCTAGGCTCCATTCTCCCTTGGCCTTGTGGTCCAGGTCCCTGAAATTCTATTACCTCATAGACTGCTTGGCCACTCCTAGATCCCACCCATAGTCTTCCTGTATATAAGGTCCACCTTGTCTCCATTAAGATGCTTGGATTCTTATAATCTAGCCACAGCTTACTAATGTTCAGACTCCTTAAGAGTCTGCCCTATATGATGAATGTTCTAATAAACCTTGTCTTTGGCTGAAAAAAAAAAGAATTTAAGAACTGGAAGGGATCTTCAAAATCATCTAGGCAAACCTCATTTTATGAATGAGAAAACTATAGCCCAGAAAACTGACAAGACTTACCCAAGGCCACACAGCAAGTGAATCAGTGCCAGGACCAAGCACCAAGGCCTTATGATCTTATCCATCATCATACCGTATTTCATTCTTCCTTGCTTCTTTCATTTTAAATTAATCTATAAAATGGGGGAAATAATGCCTGTCCTACCTCTCTTTAAACATTATTACTATGAGGATTAATCTGTAAAAATGTCCCCATTTGGATTTCCACAAAGTTTAAGATCTTGAAGGGCAGAGAAATAAGGAAATGGAAAGGTGAAGCCCTTTCAGGTGTAAATAATAATAATAGGTCACATTTACATAGCATTACCTATAAGCCAGACACTGTACTAAGCACTTTTATAATTATAATCTCATCTGATCCTCATAACAATCCTGAGTGGTGGATGCTATTATTATCCTCATTTTACAGATGAGGAAACTGAGTCAGAGGTTAAGTGACTTGCCTAGGGTCACATATATAGCAAGTGTCTAAAGTCAAATTTGAACTCAGGTCTTTCTGACTGTAGGCTCAATGTTCTATCCATTGTATAACCTAGCAGTAAATAAAGCATCCTGCACCTTGAAAAGGCTATGAGACTTTGAATAGCTTAAATGACTATGAAAAGGTCAGCAAAGACAGTGAACTTGCCTCAGAGCATATATTGCCTCAATACCTTTGTCTCCTTCTGGATAAGACCCCAACAGTAAGCTAGGAAATAGAACTGACTGGTTACCATAAGTAGGAGTACGGTCCTTCACTGAGGGAATCCTGCTCTGAACTGGGAAGAATTACGAAAAAAGAAAATCTATGCTTCTTACACAGCCTACCTGGAATATAGCAAATCTTAGGGCTAAGGCTCTAACAGAGTCAAAGAAGAAAGCCTTCCACTACTTTTGGAATAAGGATTTCTGAAGAGTGCAATGGTACTCCATTTGAAAAGAGGGCTGTAATACTTCAGCAGAAAGAGTATGTTACTAACCAGCCAAGCAAGAAGCTAGAATTGGCAAGTCCAGAGAGTCTAGCAGATAAACTTGCAAAGACACCCTGCAATATTTACTTCAAAGATATATCAAGATCAGAAATACAATCATTTCACCCCCAGCCCCACCCCAACACCAGAGGGATCAGGGTGAAGAGTCAGTTGAATCTGCCAGTTCAGCAGCTAAGTGATCTGTCTGACCCAGGCCAGCATTGATATGCCCATCCATGCCCTATGAGGGGTTAGCTGGGTCACCCATCCAAATGACATGTTGTACCGTTTGAGGAGTCAGCAAAGTAACTCATACATCACTGATCCTGTGCCTAATAGTGAACTTGGTAAGGATTCTCTATATAAAGAAAGGATATCAAAGCCTTGCAGTTCCAGTTATGAGCTACTTCGGCCATATGTTCCCTTACATGAGTGTCTCGTTACCATCGTAATATAGATTTATACCCACCCTTCACCACACTATAAACTATGTATTTGTAGGAGAGCGTTATCTCAGTTTCTGGGGGGAATACTTTGCAACTGCTGTTTTTGCAATGCCATTCAAGTAAATGTGTTTTCTAAGAGATAATTAAGTCTATTGTCTGATTATTAATGAGAAGTACTCCACTGGGGGCTCATGAGCTACAGTGTTAGGACCCAACCCAAATTGTTGCCCCTTGAACTTGAGGTAACAGTTATCTCTCTGGGGAGTCAACCTTACAGTACTGGGGGATTGAGTGCAAAGGGAATGTTACTAATCTAGGATCCTTTCTAGTTCTAAAATTGTATGTTTCTAAGTGAAAGAAACATTCAATGTTTTGCCAAACTGAAAACACTAAGTAACACAGAACTGTCCACTGAGCCCAGCCTTTCTGAGCCTGCAAAGAGTGTTGTTGAAGTAATTTCTCATGTGGAAATTCTATAGTTGGTTCCTGTCTGCTAACCATATTGTGATGAGGAATCCCTTCGATTGGCTACAGCTGCATAGCCAGATCTGGGGGACATTCAGATGACACTACTCAGCCCTGTCCTTATTCCTTTCAGTTGACTCCTTCCTGCTAATGGTATTCTGGTGAGAGAATAGAGATATTGCTATTAGGGGATAGGCCTTAGGCCCTCCCTATCTAAGGTCAACATGTCAACACTGAATAGTCCTTGGTTCTTTGCCATGGTGTTTGCTCCTTCATATCAGGTAAAAAGGATTCATCTGAAGGTTACAAGTGAGTTTTTTAACAGGTCAGGAAAGTGAGCTACCTGAGGTCCATGAATCCCAATGTCGAGACCATCCTGGGTGTTGAGATCAGCCATGCTTTGGGCCTGAGGAAGACTCTTAAGATCTCCAGCCACCCAGCCTAGGAGTAGCTGAGCTGAATGTTCATCCAGAAGTGATGCTGCATTTGAATGAGAGATTAATAGGGTCCATGCTATACAGAAACTGCATTGTCTGAACCCACTCTCTCCAGAGACTGAAGTGGTATAAAGAAGAGTGGATCCCTCTGGTGTTGGGGTGGGGCTGGGGGTGAAATGATTGTATTTCTGATCTT